TTATGTTGGGCGTTGGTATTATTTTTTTAAAATTAGATAGTTATAATTTGCAGGAATGGGGACTCGTTGTAGGAGGTCAAATATATAATTAATATATGTAATATTATTACGTTTAAATTATTTTTATTTATTAACTAAGCCATGACTTTGTAACTTTGGAAATTGTAGAATATAAAGAGTATATAATTTTTTATCTTAAGTTTAACATTTTTGTCCTTTACATCTTTAATTATTATTGTGCATTTTACCTCGTTGAGCATTTTACAACATTAGTTTTAAAATTTTGCATACCGAACCTCTGATTGTATGCTAATGCTAATACGTCAATGTCTCATTGGTAATCTATGGTAATGTCATGTGTATTTCCACATCAGCATTAGTCAAGATATTACTTTGTATATAATTATAATAATTGATATGTAAATTTTAAATATGTTTATAATTAAAATATTAAGATTAAATAGTTTTTCGTCAAATGTTATATGTTAAGAAAAGTATCTACATAAATAAAAAATAATTTTTTATTGTTTTGTTAAATTGTTAAAAGTTTTTATAATTTGTAAGAGTTTAAAAATTACATTTGGAAATTATATGCAATTTCAATAATAGGGTGATGTTATCTTTTAAACATAATTCATATCTTATCCTATCAGTATGTAGTCCATGTCAACTATTGGACAAGATAACAAAATAATGTCATTTGATTTGTTATCTAGTACGCATGAAACATTGGGTAAGATTAAGATTTATATTGCCCTTGTTCTATGATGTTCTTAGCATGTTTTTATATCCTAACTTAGCATGATCACTAAAAACAAAATCTTAAAGAAATTCCAAGAGTCCTAACATAGTATAACAGTGCTAACATTCTTAATTCTAAAACAGTTATTGTTTGTTAATGAATGTAAAAGGACATTATCCAAAACGTTTAAATGGTTTTGTGGCAAAATGTGGATTTATAAGCAATTTAAGATCAAGAACTTTAAAGTTTATCTGCATTGAATAGAAACTTCCAGTTATTGGCAAAGAGAGCATGCTGTTGTTGATGGTTCTTTCGAGTGACATTATTGCTTGCAACTTAACAATCATCCTTTTTGCATGTTGAAACAGCCAACTGAATATAATACATACGCAGATATTGATGCTGCATATAAATGCCTAAAAGAACAATATGGGGTGAAAGATGACCAATTGATACTGTATGGTCAATCTGTTGGGAGTGGTCCCACACTTGATCTTGCTTCACAGATACCAGAATTGAGAGGGGTTGTCTTGCATAGTCCAATTTTATCTGGACTTAGAGTACTATACCCTGTAAAAAGGACATACTGGTTTGATATTTACAAGGTACACAGACTCCTTAATTGATTCTGCTCCAATCTATTTCATTCAATCTATGGATGTTTTACATGTTTTTTTTTCTTCTGTCCAGAACATTGATAAGGTTGGTGCAGTCAAATGTCCTGTTTTGGTTATACATGTAAGTGGCTTTTCCTGTTTTGGTGCATCTAGTTTTTCTTTCAGGTTTCAGCTGTAAATTAAGTCAACTTCTCTAATCAATACTTTTATTTGTTTCTGGAAGATGCTTGATTAAGACAAGTGATTTGCTACTGTTGCATTTAATCCATGGACAGTGTAAACCATTTTAGACTTACATATGTCTTTCAGAAAAAAAAAAAACAAAAAACTGTTGTAAAGACTTCCACAGCAAATATAGACCGTAGTTATTGTAACGAGTTACCTTTCTTGTTTACTTTTCTTCTGAGAGAAGTGCTGGTTAGTGGCCTGAGAAATGTTATAAACACACTATTGTTGGCTGAAATTTATTGGAAATTATGACCTTTTGTTGATCTCACTTTTTCTTTAATGAGTTTCAATGAATTTTAACCAAGAGAAGAATAATGCTTTAGAGTTGTTAATGCCTCCCATCACTGTAAAAGGTTTTACATAGCCATTGAACCCTATGTCTCTTTCTCTTTTATTTCAGCAAACTCTCACGGTGATGCTATGACAGGAAGTGGGTACTTATGAGTGCCTAAATCCCATGTCAGATGGTATTGAAATGTTTGGTGACCCAACAAATTTTTACACATACTTTACATCCGCTATTTTACCCTTTAATCTCTCACTTACAAATACAAAAGTTAACTTTTTTAAAGACCAAAATACTCATAAAAGTTGGCTCCTGTTAAGAAGTGGATTTTAAGCCTAACTCAACCCACAAAACCGGCTTGTAAGGTGGAGTTTGCACCCACTTATATACTTTAAATTAGTCTTATCTCTAGTTGATGTGGAACTTCCAAAACACCCTCTCACGCCAAGATATATACATTTCGAGCGTGGGACTAGATATTAATGGGTGGTCCGTTAATGGCGGTTGGAATAATATGCTCAATAAATAACAAATATCGCTAGGATAGTCTCTAATCATATCTTTAATACCATGTTAAAAAATGAACTTTAAGTCTAACTTAACTTCACAAAACTGGCTTGTAAGGTGAGGTTTGCATCCACTTATATACTTCAAATTAGTTTTATCTCTAGTTGATGTGGACTTTCAACAGTTCCTTTGAATGGTTATGAGGCATTCATCATACATACTTGCCACTTATATGTTTTCAGTGTTCTTTTTATCACCTTTTCTTCAGAAGTTGGTAAACTGTAGTGATGATGATTACAATTTTTGCATGGGCAGGGGACGGCAGATGAAGTTGTGGACGTGTCCCATGGGAAGCAGCTCTGGGAGCTTTGCAAGGTAAAGTACGAACCCTTGTGGGTAAGTGGTGGTGGGCATTGTAATCTTGAGCTTTACCCAGAATTCATTAAACATCTAAAGAAATTTGTACAGACAATTGGAAAATCTAAAGCAACTGCAAATGGTTCTAAAAAGGACACTGTAGAGTCTGAGAATCAAGGCAAAGCTAGAAAAGAATCTGAAGGTGGAACATCTGGTACTTCTGAATTGGGTAAGGAAATCCCTGAAGTTTCTAGAAACAGTTTAGATAGCCGTCTTGAGAAATCCAAAAAACCAGACAAACCAGAAAAATCTCGTATGAGCACAGACCATGTTGATAGGTTTAGGAGAAGAAAGGGTTTAGTTTGGTAGTCTCTTACAACTGTATCCAGAATAATTTATCTGCTAGTATTCACTTGGCAGGTAATCTAATTTCACTCTTCAGGTAATGATGCCACTTCTAAATGAATATATTGAGTGAGTTTTCTGTTTCCTTTAGGTCCATAACTCAGCTGTACCTTAAATGATTGAAAGCAATATGCATTTGTATGGCCTGTAAAATCAAACAGCTTGATCTAAATGCAATCATTAAGATAATTTGTTTTTGCTAAAATCATTTTCTAGTGTCTCATGTTTTTGCTTTGTGTTTATCATTGTCTCCCTTCCTTCACTGGAAGGAAACCTGCAAGACTTTAAGCTGCAAGAGCGGCAGGTATTAGCCACAAACCACCTAGGGATACTTTGATGCACATACAAAAAATGTTGAAAGTCTCGTTTTGTTAAACTTCAAGAATTTCTCAGTCAGATATACTGTCTTTTGAATGTCTTTTTCTTGTATTTACACATACAGATACAGACAAAAACAAAAATCATCTGTGTTATTTCAAGATCTACTCTTTTCCTTTCTCACCTCCATTCATGAATGGTCAAGATTAAGTAGTAGTGGTAACATGTTTTCTTTGAAAACACATGTATGCTTATACTTTAATCTTGATCATCCAATTATGATCATAGTATATATTTTTTTTCTTGTCTGTACAAATTTTAATATGTCAGTCATGGATTTTTATGTGAGGTAGGAATAAATAATGAAAATTTGATCTTATTATAAATGGTCAAAATGAAAACATGACTAATGCCGTGTCTGTGATGATTTATTCTTCTCACTTATGTGTATTTGATGATGTCTGTGATGGCTCGCATCACTTTCTGTCATGGAATTAAATCTGCTAAATAATAATTTTACCGAGGGCATTATGGTTAAATAATTTTTTTATTACTTCTAAAATTGACTTGTATTGAAATTGACATTTAATAGATATTATAATTTACTCTTCATCGTATCTTTGATTACTTTTCAATTANACAAGATAACAAAATAATGTCATTTGATTTGTTATCTAGTACGCATGAAACATTGGGTAAGATTAAGATTTATATTGCCCTTGTTCTATGATGTTCTTAGCATGTTTTTATATCCTAACTTAGCATGATCACTAAAAACAAAATCTTAAAGAAATTCCAAGAGTCCTAACATAGTATAACAGTGCTAACATTCTTAATTCTAAAACAGTTATTGTTTGTTAATGAATGTAAAAGGACATTATCCAAAACGTTTAAATGGTTTTGTGGCAAAATGTGGATTTATAAGCAATTTAAGATCAAGAACTTTAAAGTTTATCTGCATTGAATAGAAACTTCCAGTTATTGGCAAAGAGAGTATGCTGTTGTTGATGGTTCTTTCGAGTGACATTATTGCTTGCAACTTAACAATCATCCTTTTTGCATGTTGAAACAGCCAACTGAATATAATACATACGCAGATATTGATGCTGCATATAAATGCCTAAAAGAACAATATGGGGTGAAAGATGACCAATTGATACTGTATGGTCAATCTGTTGGGAGTGGTCCCACACTTGATCTTGCTTCACAGATACCAGAATTGAGAGGGGTTGTCTTGCATAGTCCAATTTTATCTGGACTTAGAGTACTATACCCTGTAAAAAGGACATACTGGTTTGATATTTACAAGGTACACAGACTCCTTAATTGATTCTGCTCCAATCTATTTCATTCAATCTATGGATGTTTTACATGTTTTTTTTTCTTCTGTCCAGAACATTGATAAGGTTGGTGCAGTCAAATGTCCTGTTTTGGTTATACATGTAAGTGGCTTTTCCTGTTTTGGTGCATCTAGTTTTTCTTTCAGGTTTCAGCTTTAAATTAAGTCAACTTCTCTAATCAATACTTTTATTTGTTTCTGGAAGATGCTTGATTAAGACAAGTGATTTGCTACTGTTGCATTTAATCCATGGACAGTGTAAACCATTTTAGACTTACATATGTCTTTCAGAAAAAAAAAAAACAAAAAACTGTTGTAAAGACTTCCACAGCAAATATAGACCGTAGTTATTGTAACGAGTTACCTTTCTTGTTTACTTTTCTTCTGAGAGAAGTGCTGGTTAGTGGCCTGAGAAATGTTATAAACACACTATTGTTGGCTGAAATTTATTGGAAATTATGACCTTTTGTTGATCTCACTTTTTCTTTAATGAGTTTCAATGAATTTTAACCAAGAGAAGAATAATGCTTTAGAGTTGTTAATGCCTCCCATCACTGTAAAAGGTTTTACATAGCCATTGAACCCTATGTCTCTTTCTCTTTTATTTCAGCAAACTCTCACGGTGATGCTATGACAGGAAGTGGGTACTTATGAGTGCCTAAATCCCATGTCAGATGGTATTGAAATGTTTGGTGACCCAACAAATTTTTACACATACTTTACATCCGCTATTTTACCCTTTAATCTCTCACTTACAAATACAAAAGTTAACTTTTTTAAAGACCAAAATACTCATAAAAGTTGGCTCCTGTTAAGAAGTGGATTTTAAGCCTAACTCAACCCACAAAACCGGCTTGTAAGGTGGAGTTTGCACCCACTTATATACTTTAAATTAGTCTTATCTCTAGTTGATGTGGAACTTCCAAAACACCCTCTCACGCCAAGATATATACATTTCGAGCGTGGGACTAGATATTAATGGGTGGTCCGTTAATGGCGGTTGGAATAATATGCTCAATAAATAACAAATATCGCTAGGATAGTCTCTAATCATATCTTTAATACCATGTTAAAAAATGAACTTTAAGTCTAACTTAACTTCACAAAACTGGCTTGTAAGGTGAGGTTTGCATCCACTTATATACTTCAAATTAGTTTTATCTCTAGTTGATGTGGACTTTCAACAGTTCCTTTGAATGGTTATGAGGCATTCATCATACATACTTGCCACTTATATGTTTTCAGTGTTCTTTTTATCACCTTTTCTTCAGAAGTTGGTAAACTGTAGTGATGATGATTACAATTTTTGCATGGGCAGGGGACGGCAGATGAAGTTGTGGACGTGTCCCATGGGAAGCAGCTCTGGGAGCTTTGCAAGGTAAAGTACGAACCCTTGTGGGTAAGTGGTGGTGGGCATTGTAATCTTGAGCTTTACCCAGAATTCATTAAACATCTAAAGAAATTTGTACAGACAATTGGAAAATCTAAAGCAACTGCAAATGGTTCTAAAAAGGACACTGTAGAGTCTGAGAATCAAGGCAAAGCTAGAAAAGAATCTGAAGGTGGAACATCTGGTACTTCTGAATTGGGTAAGGAAATCCCTGAAGTTTCTAGAAACAGTTTAGATAGCCGTCTTGAGAAATCCAAAAAACCAGACAAACCAGAAAAATCTCGTATGAGCACAGACCATGTTGATAGGTTTAGGAGAAGAAAGGGTTTAGTTTGGTAGTCTCTTACAACTGTATCCAGAATAATTTATCTGCTAGTATTCACTTGGCAGGTAATCTAATTTCACTCTTCAGGTAATGATGCCACTTCTAAATGAATATATTGAGTGAGTTTTCTGTTTCCTTTAGGTCCATAACTCAGCTGTACCTTAAATGATTGAAAGCAATATGCATTTGTATGGCCTGTAAAATCAAACAGCTTGATCTAAATGCAATCATTAAGATAATTTGTTTTTGCTAAAATCATTTTCTAGTGTCTCATGTTTTTGCTTTGTGTTTATCATTGTCTCCCTTCCTTCACTGGAAGGAAACCTGCAAGACTTTAAGCTGCAAGAGCGGCAGGTATTAGCCACAAACCACCCAGGGATACTTTGATGCACAAACAAAAAATGTTGAAAGTCTCGTTTTGTTAAACTTCAAGAATTTCTCAGTCAGATATACTGTCTTTTGAATGTCTTTTTCTTGTATTTACACATACAGATACAGACAAAAACAAAAATCATCTGTGTTATTTCAAGATCTACTCTTTTCCTTTCTCACCTCCATTCATGAATGGTCAAGATTAAGTAGTAGTGGTAACATGTTTTCTTTGAAAACACATGTATGCTTATACTTTAATCTTGATCATCCAATTATGATCATAGTATATATTTTTTTTCTTGTCTGTACAAATTTTAATATGTCAGTCATGGATTTTTATGTGAGGTAGGAATAAATAATGAAAATTTGATCTTATTATAAATGGTCAAAATGAAAACATGACTAATGCCGTGTCTGTGATGATTTATTCTTCTCACTTATGTGTATTTGATGATGTCTGTGATGGCTCGCATCACTTTCTGTCATGGAATTAAATCTGCTAAATAATAATTTTACCGAGGGCATTATGGTTAAATAATTTTTTTATTACTTCTAAAATTGACTTGTATTGAAATTGACATTTAATAGATATTATAATTTACTCTTCATCGTATCTTTGATTACTTTTCAATTAAGGATATTATTATTCAATATCACCATCGGGACTAGTTAATATGTTTGTTAGGATATTTACTATCATTGAGTATAAAAACAATATTGAAAGTCTTTTGGAATACAAGAAAAACTTATCCAAAATAAGTGTTTATAAAATAAGCAATTAAAAATTTATTTATTTTAGCAGATAAAATTTTCTTTCCAAAATAAGCAAGTTTCGATCGGTTAAACTACATACTTTAAGTTAACATAAAAGGAGTTAGAAATAGACTTATTTTACTAAAATTTACATTTTTTTGGAAATATGAACAAACTTATCCATATACTTTCGTTTGATTATATTTAGGCTGTTTCTTATTGTATGCTGTCAAATTTCTCTCTGCACTCGATCAATATGCGAATTTTTGGATTTAACTTTTTGGAAATAAATTTCCGGAAGACACTCATCAATTATGGAAATATCTTTCCAAAAAACTATCAACCCTTATTTAAAAAAGAAATTATAGTAAAGAAAATAAAATACTAATAAAGATTGAAAGTTAAAAGAATTTTTTAACGATAAAAATTAAAAAAGAAATTATAATTACCGTAATATAAAAACTTGTCAAAATAAGAGTTGATATTTATTAATGTAATATATTCTTATAAAAATTACATAAAGAAAAAAGTGTATAATGAAAATTATAGTAAAAAAGAAATATTTTGAAAATGTAAGTAAATTTAAAAAAATATCAAATGAATTGAATAGTTGAGAGAAAAAAAATAGGAAAATAGTGACAGGAAAGAAATTAAAAACTAGTAAGTTTTTCTTACCTATCAAGAGTATTATTTGATTAATTTAAAAGGAAACAGGTTGGATATGAAAGTATTCACCAATTCACCAATATATATATATATATATATATANCTCCTGAAGAAAACAGTGCTATTGCTAAAGTTGCTAGGGCCCAGCCTCCGGTTGCGGATATAGACCAGCTTGCTAAGGAAGGCCTTTCCTTTGCTAGTAAAATATAATTGGTGTGTTAGGAAGGAAACGATGCTTGGTGATTTGCATAGATTGTATTTGAACTAGCTTCGGTTTACCTTTGATCATGTATTTCGGGAACTTTTTTCTTGAGTTTTTTTGTTTGAAATGTGATTGCCAGGGATATGTTTTACCGTATCTCTATTTCTTTTCTCTTGCAACTTTCTGGCTCTGCATACGCTTTCCACACTCGAGAAGCAGCAGCTATTTGAAGTGCAAGCCACAAAGCAAAACAAAAACGTAGAAATAAGATTTGGACAATGATATTTTAACAAATTTTTTTAAAATTTTTTTGACAACATACTATCAAATCAATCACAAGCTATCACATAGATTGTAAAAAAGTTATCAAAAAAAAATTGTTAAAAAAGACTTTTTCCATAAGATTTACATGAATTGCTGGATTTTATGCTTAGCCCAAGATTCGAAAATATTTGCATGTAAAACTGATTTCATGAACGATTGGTGTCTAGTTGTCTCACTTTCATTCATTCTCATGGGAGGAGTATTTGTCATATTCCTACTCAATAAGGATATTTTGGGTGACAAAATTCTCCCCCTTCAATTTTGTGTCACCAATCACCATTGTATAGAATTGTGATGTATGTAGCCGAAGACATTTGGTTGTTAACTACAGTATTAAATTAAGTTACTTAAGAAGATGACATGATATAGTTCATTAGGTTCTTAATATCATATACTCTCTAATTGACATGAGGATAGTTGGATACTTTATGAAGTATGGATCATCTAATCCAACACTAAATATCGGATATTATGTTTTTTATATCAAGATTTACATCTATTTTCTGATAACAATGTTGTTTATTAAGTCAAGATATCATTTGCTAGTATTTTCTTGTGATTGTTAGGGACATTCGTGCATTGAAAGATTTAACCAAAATCAGGTGTAATTTTTCATAAGTAAGTTGGTCATTGAGTTTCTGAGCCAATAGGCCTTTGACTGTGGCCTATTCAGATGGAACCATGGTCAATAAGGTATGTCTATAAATATTATTTTAATTGTAGGTTGATTTTACTTTTTGTATTAATTTAATTTTGATTAAAATTTCTGACAAAGTACCAATTTAAGCGTCATTCAGTAGTAATGGAGAAGTTTAACAGAATAGTAGTGAAGAGTTCATAAAGTGAAAGAACACTTTGAAAAGTATGTTTAATTATGGAAGAATGAAATTCACTTACCATCTTTTAATTGTCACGAGATTATAATGGTTTGACCAATTTCAAACATAAGTATCTTTTGATCCAGCACGACACCAACATAATTAGCACAAATATTTTTTTTCTCGAGCAATTAATAATTAAGTATTGAATGTTAATGTATTAATGCTCCATTCAAACTATAAAATTATAAATATTTAGTTGTTCGCTACAAATAAAGAGATAAAAATAAAGGATGTTACAAATTAAAGTAAAAAATATTAGAGTTTTGTTTCATAAATTCACCCACTCCCTTAAATTGCCTAAAAATAATCTTTGATAAATTTTCAATAATATAATAAATTCATTAAATAATTTAAATTTTAATTCTTTATACAAATAAATCTAAATTAATTTTCTATAATTTCATTTTTACACATTAGAACCACTCAATCAAGAAGTTTATAAGATAACTAATTGAAATATATCTATTCCGAACACCAATTTCAATTAGGTTTTCTTCGCAACCACATATGTTTAGAATTACTTTTCAATGTGAATCTAATATCAATTAATAAGTTAAGGGATCAAACTAATATAAATCTTGAGTATAAAAACACAATATAATTTAAATAATTTTTTATAAATTCAAAATAAGTATTTAAATGAGTTTAAGTTTCTTTACATCCAATTCTTATTCAGAGTGAACTTAGTCACTTATATTCTCATTATAGAAAAATTTATAATACGTGAAAGTAGTAAGAATTATATATTTATTTTTTTCTAGCAAAAGTTATGTAGATTTTCCTTGGGTTTTTATTTGGAAGGATACTAAAATGTTCAAATAAAATATACTTAACAGATTTTTATCTTTTTAGCTCTTTGCTTAAGCAACCATCATGACTCAATTAATTAAAAATTATTCATTATATCTTGTCGCTAGATTGTGCTCGTTTAAGCGAGAAAATACATGTTTTGGGAAAATCTTCGGTGATATTTTAATTAAATGTTATTTCTTGACCAAATTTTAATTATTTTATTTCACTCTCAGTGAATCATTGATATTGCTTCATTTAATAACAAAGATAAAAAATCTAAAATATATATTTTTTAAAATAATAAAAGTCCCAAAGCTTAATATATGTTCAATAATTATTGTTAAAAACACACTTTTTAAAAATACAATTATTAAACACCTACAACTTAGAATTTCTCTTGCCTAATAAAGGAAGGAAACTATTATAAAAGAAAGTAAGAAAAAACATTTATCAAAAACCTTGAATGAGAATTTATTAACAAATATGACTATCATGTTATAAAAATAAACATTACTTTTCATAAGTCTATCATCAAAAATGTATCATATAAGTACTTCTTTCTTAATTACATTGAATACCTGTAAATAAATTTAAATTCTAATGTTATCCTATTCTTAATGTGTGTGACATTTGCTTTTTCATTAAGCTTAAATGTAGTATTTTTGGATTATATATATATATATATATATATATATATATATATATAATAGACAGGGCACATGGGTGCCAAACCCTAATAACTCTTAACAAAATTCCACTATTTTAAAATACCCATTTTAACCTTTGTGATTTTATATCTTTTGCCATTTTTGTATCTCTTTTAAATAGGAAGATTATGAAGTGCTGATATATGTACTTATTAGTTGTTAAATATTGTTAGACATTGTGGAATATTATAAAATATTATAAAATATTATTAGATATCATGTTATTTGTATCCATCATCAAGTTCACTCCATTTTTTTTTATATATTTTTAACTATAAATACATTATTTATGTATGTTATAGGATGTATCAGTTATTCCATTATAGCTATTAGGTGGATCCAGTCACTCTTATTTAAGTAAAAAGAATTCCAATATGATATCTAGTCATAAAAATTTTATCTATGATGTATTTTACATTCAAAATTTAACTTTTCTGT